GGAAGTGCTCTACATCACTTCCTGTTCATTTACGATTGTGGACATAGTAACTGATACCATCGCCTCAGTTTAGGAATTGACAGGAGCACTCAGTATAGAGGCTTCCTGTTCATTCATAACAAATCTGCTGCAGAAAAAGATTTAGGCCTCAGTGTCCTCAATCTTTTTCTATTGTAAAAAGGGAAATGTCAGGGGTATGTTTAGACCCCTGATATTTCCCCAAAGCCTCGAACAGTAAATCAAAAACAAACAAAAAAACCTAATGCATGCAAATTTTGATTCTGGTTTAAAAATCTCATTATCAGTGATATTATACAGTATACATATTTTTCTATACCATAGAGGGGGCATGATATGACAGTTCTCACTTCTAGTAAATAAAAACAAAACAAAAAAAAGAAAGGGGGGGGGGGGGGGGGAGAAGGGTGTGAGAAATATTCTAGGGTAAGCTGCATACAATTCCATTAAAGTATATTTGAAAACAATGGTGCCGTTTTGAATGGAGCGAAGGGAGCGAAGGAATAGAATAGACCTCTGTCAGATTTGTATTGCGCTCTGTGTGTCCACTGGGGAGATTCATTTACTTCATTTATCATGGGGACCATTATCAAGCAATTTGAAAACCCAACGTTTTGAGTAGTCATTGGAACAGGAATAGAGAGATCAGTGGGGACAGCTGTTCCAGTGACAACTGTCTAAGAGGAGATTTACCTCACTTGGAGAAATACCTTCCTGCTGTTTCATAGGGACAGGAAATGGAGGGAAGTCTCCTCAAAGGATACAGACAGCAAAAAATAAATAGAATGAGGTTTAACCCCTTTTTACTCTATCCCAAACTAAAAAAAGAAAAAAAATTGGAAGTAACAATGAAGCTAAAAAGAAAAAAAAAAGAAAAAATTGCCGACCAGCAGAATTTCTGACAGAAAAGACTGTAGAACTCTCTGCTGCCATAAAAAAAAGCCTCAAGGATAAGCAAAATAATAGTCCACAAAATTGTACAATGTTACTGCCCATGTATGCACAGTAATGGCTGCATGATAGCATAATACCTGAAAAATAGCTGCCAGACAGATAGAGTGCAGCTCACACATAAATGGCACATTCATTTTACCAAACTATATCTAAACAAATAAACATGGAAAAATAGTCCCAAGCAGCTACATTTATGCAAATTTTTCAGAGCAGCAAAAATTATCTTTTACAGTTATCAAAATGTGGTCTATTCCTTGTAAATGTGACAAACTACATGCTAAATATCATGAGATCCCAGACTTAACTCGCCCTCAAATGTTTCCAGCAACACACATGACACAGTAGACAAATACTCCCTCGCATGACGGCACTGAACGTTAATACCACCTTACAAGTGGGACTTTGTAAAAAAAATGCAAAAGTCAAGTGCGTGTGTTCTGTATACCTTGTGACTGTTTAGAATATAGTCAGCCTAGATTATCTGTGCTTTGATCGGTTCAACAGCTATGCTATGGTTAGGTCAGAGGCAAAAAGGAGCAGTTCACATTAAGGTCAATGTGTAGGGGGACAGACATGGCATGGTGGCTGAGGAGGAAGTGGGTATGCACTGGTGAGTCACATCAAGCAGTACGCATGGTGGAAGTCACGTTGCAGCTCCTGAGACGCTGGGAAAGTGGTTTTCGTGTTTAACCAAGTTCAGTGCAACATGGCACCTTACTTCCTCCACTCGGCAGTTCCTTTAAAAGCAAACCAGTACACACGCAAAGGGTTTCTAATGGTCTGGCAATTATCCACAACTCGATTTGCAAGACACACTATTAAACCAAAGCTATATGCAAACTACATACCAATAAATCATATTTAGATTTAGCTATACTTTTACATGGCAGAGAAAGAAAGTGCTGAATGAGATAAGAGAATGTACATCCTTATAACATCCAGAGAACTGTGTTTTGACTGCGATATAATAACTGAGCCACAGGATTTTAAAAGAGAGAAATGGCGCCATCTAGGGGCCAAATTACAAGAATTTCACAAACGGGAAAAGGACGGTGGCTCATTAGAAATGCCAGTCATAGGTGAATGAGCAAGCAGCCTCTCGTCTGTCTAATTCACACACATGCAGTATTGCTGTAAAAAGAGAAGCACATTAGTGTGTGTGTGTGTGTGTGTGTGTGTGTGTGTGTGTGTAAAACGTGGAATTGTTCAAGAAACATTTGTATGATTGTTTTAAGGGACCGTAATATACAGGGGTACGGGTACTCCTAGAACGAGATCCTAATAGGTTGGACTTGATGGACTAATGTCTTTATTCAACCTCAAATACTATGTAACTATGTAATTGCTTTATAACATTCTTTAGACACTAGTGTATATCTGTGCGTGTGTATATTTTTTTTTACACACAAATTATTTTTTGACAGAGGTTAAAACATTGCCCTTGCACAAAATATATTCACCTACATATTAGGCAACCAAGTGGTGAACTGTAAATAATAAAAAAAAAAAAGAAAAATTGAAAATGCAGGAAACAAAGGATGGCTACATATATTCTTAGACGTCTTCTACACTGCAAAAACCAAAGGGCACTCTATTCAGCAAATAACCTCAATACACACTATGACTTAAGCTGCCCATACACTACCTTTACTTAGTTCAACCTGCAAGCTGAACAAAGCAAATATAAGAGTCCTCCATCAACGCTTATAAGCGCTGATCGAGGAATCTCCCGCTGTTTTCATTGTATTCCGACGGTGGCCGTAGCACATGTACAATTGGAAAAAAATATAATAGTGGATATTATAATTATAAAAAATTATATACTGCCGAATTAATATATAAATTGGAAATCAAGTTATAGGTGACCACAGTACCACAGGAGATTTTCCAATTGTTAGAAACACCTCCAGGCTCCTAAATTCTAAATACAGAAAAAAAAAAAAAATTCACACAATAATGAAGATCTGCAATAATGAACACATCATTAAAATGGGTTTGGTAAATGCAAGCAGTGCAAGTACTTTAATTTGGTGTTCTGGTAGTAGCCTATTACAGTCCCCTATATAGCAGAGCTGCAGTGTGTGAGGAAGAAGCAGTACAAGGAACTAATCAGTTCACATGCTGATATGAAGAGAAAACAGAATGAGGAGCCCAATAATGTGATGCTTCTCCTTTAACTGACGGTAACAGGCTGGGAAGAGTTCAGAGAAGGTGGCTTGAATGATTCTGGCATTTCATTTCTCCTGTGCATTGCAAGTCTAGTCCCCGACAGATCACCTTTGGGATTTCACAGAGCCCAGCTCAGCTTAAATTAGTGACATGCATTCCGGATGCATGAACACAAAAACGTGTGCAAAGTCTTAGTTTTTTTTTTTACTCAGGTTGTGGATACTTTCTAAAGAAAACAAGTGTCCTTTTTTTATACAGTATCACTGTGTGGAAGTAGTGGTCTCTCTCTGCAGAGATCCAACAATCTCACTCTGAGTGAGAGCAAGAGCTATCCAATCAGCATTGAGTAAACTCTTTAGTGACTGTAGAGCTATAGGTCTGACTCGACAGACCCTACTCTTCTTTGCCCTCAGTTTGCTTTACTGACTTATCTTATTCAGTATTTATCAAACCATCATCATGTTCCTTACAGCCATATTTGATATCACTCTCCCCATCTCATCAGGCTTAGCAAGATTGTATTATTTAAACTGTATCTAGACCCAAAAACAAAATGTTTGCAGCTTACCAGCCCTCAGATGTGGTGACTGCATTAGTTTGATTTTTCAGGCTAAGAACATTTTCAGCAAGTACAGAAATTGCCTGCTGACCTTGCCAGAAATGCAGTGTCCTTAATATGCAACTTTTAAGTGCTGAAGTTAAAATTTTCCTTTGCTTACTTATCCATATTCTCCAAAAACACTGAAATAGCATTTACCATTGAAAGCCTTTATTTGCTGTTAGAATGTATTTTATGTTGTGAAGTAAATCACCAGCCTAAAGCCACTAGCCCACCCCCTGAGCAATTTCTACTCACCTTCCCCGATTCTATTCTTCCAGGAGTCAAAACCATGGCAGAGCCTGCACAGGATAATGTCAATCCCCCGCCCCATGTGACAGTGTTCAGTTGGGACTGGCCACTCCCACCTAACACTGCATACTGGGTCACATGCTTCCAACATACCCAGCAGTACAAGGTATTTGTGTTGGTTCCAATGGAGAGGTGATTACTTTAGGGCAAAGTAAAGACACATTTACTTTGCCCTAAATGGCCAAAGTGACAGATTCTCCTTAAGGGTTAGTTCACACCATAAGCAGTGCGTTCCGGTCCGATTTTGGCCAGAGCGCACTGCCTCGCATTACGGCCGGCTCACTTTTTTGCCGGACTGGAGGGGGCATGTTGGGGGGCCATTGGAGTGGCACTGAAGGCACCCCCTCCGGCCGCAATGCGATCGCCCGCACGGGATCGCAAGGCACACTGTGCCTGTAGTGCGGTCCGGTGCAATCAAAACGCTGCAAGCACTATTTTGATTGCACCGCAGGCACAATGTGCCTTGCGATCCCGTGCGGTCGATCGCATCGCGGCCAGAGGGCGTGGCTACGGTGCCATTTACTTCAATGGCCCGCCACGCCTCCTCCTGCCCGGCAAAAAAGTGAGCCAGCTGCAATGCGAGGCAGTGCGTTCTGGCCAGAATCGGACCGGAACGCACTGCTTATCGTGTGAACTAACCCTTAGTGATGACATCCAGTTGAAGCTTTGGGATTTAACTCTTACATACAAAATAATACTGACAGCTGATCTGCGAAATAAAACCTAAACTTTTAACTGTACTGTAAAATGAGCAAATAAAAGCATGGTAAAAGGCTCTTGCATGAAAATACCAAACACATGCCGTTATAGCAAAAGGAACCTACTGACTTCACTGCTCTGATGAATGGCTTTTAATAGGAAGTGGCAACGTAACAAAAACGGCTTTCAAATATTATTAAGCATTGACAACATAACAAAACTATTACCCAAACCAGAAAAGAAGACTTACATCACTTGGGCTGATATTGTCCATGCCATCAGATTTCTGACCGTCCTTGCTCTGGCATCTTGATGTAGTTGGATGGATCCATACCTCCACTCGAGTGGTATCCTCTGTAGTGTGCCAGAAAGTGGTAGTTGGTGCTTGATGCTTGGATCCTGCATCCGCATCTTTCTGTTGCTTTTGTTCCATCTGTTCAGCCTAAAGTGCAACAGGAACAGTGGACCAATTATCAATACAAGGATGTAGCAAACTTCAAGCAGGTTCATACTAACAAATTCACATCCTGAAAGCTCCAGAGCCTTGAGTTATTATTTCAGACTGCATTTTGACCACTTCAAAAGTACTACATGGGGCAATATTATAGACATTTCATATTTTTTTTTCAGTAATTCAACAGAATTCCTCTTTGTCAAACCATTTTCTCAGGAAAAAAAAAAGACGAAGAAGAAGCTTGACAATCAAGGCAACTTTATTCACAAAACGGACACACACTTCCTGGAGAGGCGACTCATATATATTCCCTTTCTAGGGAGGGTTAGTTCCAATCGCCATACCACCATATATATATAGCACTAGCAGGTGGTATGGCGATTGGAACTAACCCTCCCTAGAAAGGGAATAGGTGCTTTTTGATCCTGATTCAGAAAGGTCTCTGCAGAAGGTGAGCATTCTACCACAGAGTGATAACACTGGAGCACGATCTGATGGATTGTAATATAAGGAAAAGACTGGGAGGGGAATTTATCAAAACTAGAGCAGACAAAGTCTGGAGCAGTCGTGCACAGCAACCAATCAGCTTCTTTCTTTCATTTTAAAATATCTTAACTGAACAAACTGGAGAGAGAACCTGATTATAGAGCCAAAAGGAAATCTCGCCGCTCCTCATTTTGTAACAATCCAGTACCAAGAGCATGATCATAAGCGGCGGTTAAGACCGGTTTCCCTCCCTGGGCTCCAAAAAAAAAAAAGACTTTACAGCGAGTACAAATATTCAATTTCTTTCACGTCTATTGAGACACAAAAGCAGTTCAACTTGAGGGTGGGCAAAAAAAACAAAACACCACGCTTACAAACCAACTGAGAACAGCAGAACTGAGAACTGATTACAGCTCAAAGAACCGTCATGAGGACATTGTGCCCAAACCTGGTATCAGCTAAGTCCTGCACTGCCACCTGGTAGAAACTGTAAAATGTGTAAATAGTAGCACCCAAAAAGCCTAAGAGGAATTCAGAAATCTAGTAGAGTGTGCCTTGTCAGTAAAAGGAAGAAACCTAATCCTTATCTTGAGACTATAAGCTTATATAAAGTGTGTCTGAGCCACCACAGAATGGTGAAATGAGAAGCTGGTTCACCTTTACAGGGAGCATCAGGAAATGACAAAGAGAGTCAGTCTTTCTGAAGAAAGCAGTGTCCGGGAGCCTCACAGCCTAAAACAACATCCAGACAATGGAGGGAGATCTCAGATGTCCTGAAAAGCCTAACCACCACATTTTCCTTGTGCAAGAACAGAAAGGGTTCTTTATAGGTAGTCCTCCAGTTCAGACCCTTGCCTCACAGAGGAGATGGATAAAAGGTCCACCACCTTATGGGTAAGAGTGGAAAGAGAACTATCCATGATAGATTCAAAGGGCAATTTTTAAAGCGTCAAGAAACAGATTTAGAACCCCCAACCACAGGGGAGAGAACAGCACACCCTGAAGAAAGATCTTGTTTAACCGCTTCAAGACCAGGTGTTTACACCCCCTTCCTGTCCAGGCCATTTTTTAGTGTTCAGCGCTGCGGTACTTTGACTGACATTTTTTCCTTCATGCAACGCTGTACTGAAATTAATTTTATACCATTTTTTGGGGACAGATAGAGCTTTCTTTTGGTGGTATTTAATCACCACTGCGGGTTTAATTTTTTACTATATTCAGGAGAAATTACTGAAAATTTTGAAGAAAAAAGTTTTTTTTTACATTATGTCATTATGTCAACAACTAATATTACCAACTTTTTTGGTAAAATATAAAAGTCGGGGTCAAGTCGGGTAAATAGACACCAAACATGTCAAGCTTAAAAACTGCAAAAAACTAGCATACCCAAAATTGGCCATAGGCGACGCTTTAAAAGCTTTTACCGCTCATCAGTTTAGTGTTATCAGTGATTGATAGCCCTAAAATTATTGCTCTCGTTCCGGTGTTCGCGGCGATATGTAACATGTGCGGCGTAATGGGCGCAATCGTCGTTTTCGCAGGTATGCGCATCTGACGCATGTTTACATGCGTGTATGTAGGGGTGGGGACTTTTTAAAAAAAAATAGTTTTTTTAATTCTTTGTGTAACTTTAAAAAAAATTTGCGGGGAAACTTTACATTTTTTTACTATTTTTTCTGTTTCACTTAACTTTATTGCCATCACAGAGGGGGCTGAGAAACCCTCTTATGTGATAGCAAAAGAGGTGACAGGTCCTCTTTATAGATACATCAGGGGTCTCCAAGACCCCTAATGTCACCTAGGACCCCCCTGAAGAAGCTGATGAAGCAGAGATCTGCTTCATCAGCTTCTCTCCAGCATCTGAAGCTGGAGAGTGACACGAGAATGCGGAAGTGATGTAATATACACCACTTCCGCATTCTGACAGCGGAGAGGGGACCGGAGGGAGCTCGTGTACCTATCTAGAGGCAGAGCCAGCTGTACCTGCCCCCTCCCCCATCCGTTCCGCCAGTCAGCGCTAGAGGATCGGAGTATGGAGGGGGGAATCCAGCCTGTATCCTAATGGATACGCGCGGAAATACGCCCCAAAGAAGCTCCTGTACTTCTTTGGGCGTAGGGCGTTTTTCAGCACGTTCCGACACGCTGAAATACGCCCAAGTGAGAACCATGCCCATAGGAAATAATGGGATTTCACTTGCAGGGCGTTTTACAGCGTGTCGATCAGCGCTGTAAACGCCCAGGTGTGAACCCGGCCTTAATGGCTCTAAAATGATTGCTCTCACTCAGTTTGCGGCGATATGCAACATGTGCGGCACGTAGGTGCACCTGACGCAATGATTGCGCTCACTCAGTTTGCGGCGATATGCAACATGTGCGGCACGTAGGTGCACCTGACGCATATATGCGTGTGTATGTGGGGGGCGCGGACTTAAAAAAAATGTTTAAGAAAATAAATGTTATGCTTCTTTATTTTTTTATCAATCTTTCATTTTGGTATAATTTTTTTTTTACATACAACTAAATTGCTATTACATGGGGGGCTAAGAAGCCCCCTATGGGATAGCCAATTTACATGACAGGTCCTCTTTATGGAGACATCAGGGGTCTCCAAGACCCCTGTCACTTAGGGACCTCCAGAGAAGCTGATGAAGCAGAGATCAGCTTCATCAGCTTCTCTAGCTGGAGAGTGACACTGAATGCAGGAAGTGATGTAATTTACATCACTTGCTGCATTCGGGGACTGAGAGGAGATCAAAAGGGAGTTCGTGTACTGAACTCCCTTTGATCTCCTGTCACAGAGCCGTGCCGGTCCCGGCCGCATCGGGCACAGCGTATCTCGGGACCGGCAACGGCAGTGACAGCTTCTGATACAAGTGATCGGGCGTCCATAGAGACGCTCGATCGCTTGACTGTAAAGCTCCCGGCCGGCCGTGTAATTACAACGGCCGGCCCGGAAGCTGCTCGTCGGGCTCCACTGTCTGCTCGTCACAGACGAG